TTAGTGTTGCATTGATTGTCATTTTGCTGTAAAATTTATTGTTGGTTATTTCACTAAAAAAAATGAATAATTGATTTTTGTTTGGGGGGTTCACTATTTGCCCATAGCTGGGACCCCACAGGTCAGGGTGGACCATGAAAACAACAGCAGGTGATTCTATACTACTAAAAAACTTTTATCTTCCGATTAGAGACCTTGCTATCGGCTGTAGTTTATCATCATACTCAGGGCGCATCCTTGGTTGTAAGCTTGTCGGTAAAATTGGATAGACGATTGAAGACAGTTTGTTTGAATTCGCCGGTAGCCAAAGTGGAATCCTTCGAAAGCAAATGCGTCTTCTGAATTATGTGTTGTCAGTTTTTCTTATATTTCTTTCTAGAGGCCCCGAGCTTAGGACTTTTCAAAACCCAAAACAGAACGAACTGACTTGTCCATTATTCTTCCTCGTTGTCACGTGCTAAGGGTATCTACTTCTACCGCGCGGAACGGTTTTTGAAATTTACAAAATTGAAGTTACAAACGTTATATCTTGTGTGGTTATATGTGTGTAGCTCACAAAACCTTTCATTTCTATGTGGCGTGGCACTTCAGGGCATTAGCAATCATGGCTCTCCACGATTTCCTGTCCTTTGTAGCTCTTAATAAATTTTGTCTTTGGAGTATTCGTTAAGGCCCGTTAGAGATGGCAATATTTGAAAGTTGTCGCTTTAGCGTCCCAAATACACTGAAATAAAAAAAAAAATATCGGCTGGTTTTATTATAAACCAAACCAATTCAACACCAGGACGTAGGCGATCACGGCTCTCCCCAATTTCCTGTCAATTCTAGCTCTTAATAAATTTTCCTTTTCTCTCTTAAGCCTTATCCCACTATCCATTCACTCAAACTCTGTAAGTTAAGCGCTGTTTTTTACCTTCAATCTGTCCTGTGAGTGTCAAATTTTCCAAGCCCCTTTCCTCATTTTGTGTACTAGAAATTTAAATTCTATTTTCTTGATGTTAAGTATAAGTGTCCTTTATGTTTCCATTTTCTCGTAAACTTCCTCGTTGCTTACATGTTCGGTCCATGTTATTCTCAGTGTCCTTCTGTCCATCCATATTTCTGTTGCTTCAAGTCTTCTCTTCATGTGTGAGGAGATTGTCTTCATTCTTCTTCTTCTTCTTCTTCTTCTTCTTCTTCTTCTTCTTCTTCTTCTTCTTTCGCCCTTAACCCCGAAAGGAGTTGCTGACGTGCTGGGCTGTCCACCATTCTCCTCCTTCTGTCGAAGTTGTGTGCCAGGGCCTGAGTTGCCGCGAATGATTTCTTGAATGTGCTCATTGCGTGGTGTGTCTTGGGCGTTTTAACCTAGCGTAGCCCATCCTTCTCTAGGTGAGACAACAGTCGATGTCCTCCATTTAGGTGACTTGTATCGGTCACAAACACGTGGCTGTTGTCGCTCATATGGGGAAAATCTTCCGCCTTGGCCGGTGACCTGCGTCGAGGAAGTCCTTTGCCCAGTGGTGTCGTGTTAACACCAACCACTTACGTGAGTTTTGCTCGCTAGCTAAAACAGGGCATGACAACTTGGAGTCATCACATCAAAAATTTAGGAGATGGTTGAGGACCAGCGATGTCCGTCCACCCGAAAGGTGCAGCGTACCAGACATCAAAGGTACTACCGCTATCCAGAGACCTCTATCCCCACAGATATGTGTGGGGAATATGCGTGAATAAATCAAAGAAATAAGCGAATCTTCAACGTGGCTCTACAAATTTAAATATTTTTTATTATTATAGAGAATCTTTGTAATTTATTTATTTCAATTTCAAAAGAAATGAATTACAAAGATTCTTTGCGAAACAACTTCACACAAAACATTTTCTGTATCTTCTTTACAGTAAACCGAAACAACTGCGTTAGTATAGATGAAACAGAAACATGTGAGAATGTGTGTGACACGGATTTACGTTGTTTTATGTATGCGTATAAATTGTAGCAGTCGAAATCTGAATAAGCTTTTATCTGTTTTAATACTAATGCTAATATCTGTTGTTGACAAATAACTTGATCCATATGTTTTTATGTGTCAATATCACTAATCATTTTACGTAATATATTGTACTCGAAAAATTATACAAAAATGCGAGTAATTAATTGTGAGAATTTCAGTTTTTGTATAACAAACAAACGACCATGCTGATCAAAAGTTAACTGAAAAACTAAGTAGCGAACTTGTTCACTTTTATAGCAAAACATCGGCTCCAGAAAAAAATTAGATTTATTAATCTCAAGTTTATTGGTTAATAAATATTTTTCCAATTTTGAAATATCCATTTTAATGGGGGAAAATATTGTTCATCATATTCTGAAGTGAGCTTCCAAAATTTCGTAGAAAACATCAAATGTTAATCGTCTGCGAATTCAAAGAATGACGCGCGTCTCATATGACGTCGTTGATTGGTTAATATATATGAATACAGAAATTCAAATTTGGAGCCAACAAAAGTGCACAAAAATGGGTTCTTTTTGTGTTTCATTAATATAATTATGGTGGAATAGGTAATGGCTGCTTCAGCTATTACTACACAGTAACTATTTATTTAAGACGTTGCATACTGATAAAGGTAATATTCGGAAAATTAAAAATTGAACCTGGTTTGAACAGGTAGCATCAGCAAAACAAGCACCAGCTGATATGTTTAGAGAGAGGGGATGCAAACGGATTTGTTGTCAACAGGAAATGGAGGAATAGTGTACATCGATGTTGGAAAGTATCAGACAGTGTGTCTATAATACAGCTCACTGTTCAAGGAAAAACATACGAATGTCAACAAGGAAATGGATTTAGAATGCCCAGCTAACAAAGCCATATAGTTTTACTTTGAAAAGACTGACTTCAAAATGTTCAGAGGTCATCCAAGAAACACCATAGTCACAACGCTAAACGGAGACATTCAAAGAGCAAGGCGGAAATATCCCCGTTTTTTTTCTTTTGGAGAAGTTTACAATCAAGGAAGATCTGCAACATATCCGCTAACTCGCGGAGAACAGAGAAAACTCGAAAAATATTGTCGAATCAGTATACAATGTCTCTGAAGATGAGAGAACATGTTAATTCATGACCTCATATCGAAACGTTTTTGATGATGATAATGATAATATAACTTAAACCTATTGCCTTTTTCTACAATTCCGAAACCGAGTTCCACATATTTTACACTGGATATTGGAATGAGCAGTTAGGCATCAAATGTATCATTTTAAGAAATATCATTATTATTATTATATATACTCGACGTATGAGGGTCAAGCAGATCAGTTCCTAGGAAACCAACAGCCCGACAACAACACATGAGATTTGATTATTGTGATGAAGATTTCATGCAGGACCATCCACACTTTTTGAAGGGCTGAATAAAGTGACCTGGTGCACTACGGGCTACAAGGTCCCCAAACGACCCTCCGCAGGTTTTGAATTTACCCATAAGAGGAGTCACACCTTTCCAAAGAGTATTAGCACTGGGATTCGAACTCGGCTCTCTGATTCCTCAATCCAAGCCACTATCCATTACCCCACCGTGCCTCCCCCCCCACACACACACATACATATATATATATATTAAATGATAATAATAGAATTCAATAAATAAATAAGAAAAGAGTAAAAGTATACACTTATCAATTATATGAGAACATTTATTTTTTACTACTATTTCTGTTGTTAAAAGTTGACTATTCTGAACTAATTAAAAAGCAAAAGTGTTTAGTACTAATTCTAAATCAGCCTAGACGTATAGTAGTGCACGTTAAGATTCTTTTTGTGACTAATTTTTATTATATTCTGTGGTGGCGAGGTGTCGTTTAGTTTTGTCTGTACGACAGAGTATCGCATCGGAAACAAAATGGCGGTACGCATAAGAAACGCCGCCAGCATTTTTATTGTCGTTTATTTCAAATGAATAGCAATTTCGTATTTTTCTCCTAACGAGACACCACAGGTCAAAATGCAAGAAAAATGCAACAATGAAAGTTTTAAACTCTCAGTGTTATTAGCAAATCAGCCTATATATATATTGGAGGATAATACGTTATGTTTTATGATTTTTTCTTACTAAATTGTATGCTTGGCGACCTTTCAGCTTAGGCTGTATCTGATCAAAAACAACATGGCGGCGCCCATGAGAAATCGCCATTTTTATTTCCAGCAGTTACCTATTTTTCTTAAGACGGGCAAGCACGGCCAAGTCAAATATAATATAACAATGCAGTATTGCAAATGATAAACTTTGTAACTTCAAACACCATCTCTTCTACACGCCCATACATTTTTTTTTATTTAATATTGAATTATATATGCTTAGGATTGCCTGTATGAATATTTTGAGAGAAGAGACAATGTGTTTCTGTAAAAAGAAAAAAAGTGTAAGATCGATGGGTATTAAACTCTAGAGACATTTGATTCCAATTAGAATTGGCTTGTCTTTTAACAAAATCAACAATGTCTTTGTTTTGATATTGTCTACTAGTTTTAAGAAAACCTGGCCAATTTGCAACTGATATCCCCCACAACACCAGCAATGTCACTGATGTCTTAAACATAAATATTTATTCTGTCCAAGACCCTCCGTTGACATCTATCAATAGGAAACTTCATTCTTGTAATGTCTGACATTGGAATTGTTGCCTTTCCATCTAAGATTAACATTAAGTATATTAGATGTCTGACTGAGAGAGGATTTATCTACCTATCTGAGGCAGTTGCTGTCTGTTTATCTAAGGCTGTCAATATATGTTTGTTTATCTATACACATCTATATATCTAGCTATATATATATATATATATATATATATATATCAGTCTATTTCTTTCTTTGTATCTCTTAATATATGTCTCAATCTATTTACACCTATGTATCTCTCTATCTATCTATTCTATATATATATATATATATATATATATATATATATATATATATATATATATTCTTTTTCTTTCTTTGTACCTCTTAATATATCTCAGTCTATTTCCACTTACCTATCTATCTATCTTACTCTGTACATATATATCTACCTATCTCAGTCACTTTTATCTATCTATCTATCTATCTATCTATCTATCTATCTATCTCAGTCACTTTTATGTAAGTTTAAGTCTCTTCATATCTATCTATCTATCTATCTCCCTCTCTCTCTCTCTATATATATATATATATATATATATATATGTATATATATATATATATATATATTTGAATAAAAAACAGGCCACTTTACGGTTCCGTATAATAAATTATTTCACCACAGCCCTTTTAAAGGGCTCTGGATCATCAGACTTTACTTCCAAAGGTTGAAATTAAAAGTGAAAAGAAATTTACACATTTTTCACGGGCCGTATTAAGCATATGTAAATTAACGAAGTGAGGAAGTGAGTGGGGAGAGAAGACATGAGTGAGTTAGATGTACCATTTCAATTCTTTATCCCTAACCCTACTTGGTGTGGGCCAGACAAACGCTTCACTTAACTTATGTTATCTTTAGATATGGATGGGTAAGTGGTGAAGAGGAAAACCGACATAAAAGGAAGAGGATACAATAAAACAACCCTGATGAGAGAAGGTTTCACTCAATTTCTTGGATGCTGTTATTTCGCATTCTTTCAATGTACTTTCTAATAGACATTTAGATTTATATCAAACTTTAACCCCCAAATATACCCTTTAAAGGAATGCGAAATAACAAGTGAAGCGTTTGTCTGGCCCACACCAAGTGGGGTTAGGGATAAAGAATTGAAATGGTACATCTAACTCACTCATGTCTTCTCTCCCCCCTCTCTTCCTCACTTCGCCCTCTCTCCCCCTCACTTCCTCACTTCGTTAATTTACATATGCTTAATACGGCCCGGTAAAACATGTGTAAATTTCTTTTCATTTTTCATTTCAACCTTTGGAAGTAAAGTCTGATGAACCAGAGCCCTTTTAAAAGGGCTGTGGTGAAATAATTTATTACATGGAACCTTAAAGTGGTCTGTTTTTTATTCAAACATATTTGCTCTGAATTTACATTGAGCTCTCCGGATATCATCCTCCTTGGGTCTACCCATACGGATTACCTAGTTTTGCATAAACTATATATATATATATATATATATATATATATATATATATATATATATATATATATAATGAGAAGCCACGTATACTTTCTTAATATGTATATATAGAAAAAAGTTTCAAATGAAAAATTATAATGTTTTATTTTATGAAAGTATATAAATAAATAAATACTTTCATAAAATAAAACATTATAATTTTAAATTTAAACTTTTTCTATATATATATATATATATATATATATATATATATAAAAAATCTAAATAAATAAATTTCAAATGTTAAAATATAGGTAATGATTGAGAAATGTATGTATATATAATTTATGTATGAAGATAGATGAACATTTGTGTATATTGTTGTACGTGTGTCTATGTGTGTATTTGCACATGTAAATAAACGTATGTATATATGGATTTGCATGAATATGTTTGTGAGATACATATAAGAAGAAAACAAAATCTTTAATATTACCCTCAAATATTATTAAATAATGAAACCTTAATTAAGTTTACCCATATAATAATAAAGAAAAAATAACATTCATAAATTAGATTTAAAGTAAAACTAATATAGATGTTATTGTTACCGAAATTTTTTTACAATATTATGGAAGTACAATTGGTCGGGTAAATAAACTATTATAATTTTAAATATTTCTTTAATATGTTCTCGATAAATGTGCTAATAAAAATAGTAGTTAGCTTATATTAAGTCCCTAAACTATTTACTTAAAAAATTAAATGTTTAAATTGATAACATTTATCATTTTTTAGACATCTAAATTTCTATCAAGCATTGAAATCTATCTTTTACATAATTTTGTTAAAACAAATTTACAGCCTCTTTCGATTCACTTCCCTCTCCCCCTCTCTCTTTGCCGTAACACTCATTTAGATATATCTGTATTACTGTCGTCTGTCTCCTCTCTCTTTTCCATTTTTCCTTTTCTTTTCTCCCCACTCCCCTCCCATTCCTATATATCATTTCCGTTCATTTAACCATCTAAATAGATCAAGGTTCGGTCACTCTCCTACCCCAATATAAAGCATGCTTAAGAGAGATATGAAATTAACCCCTCCCTATACTCTACCTTGTCTCTTTAACTACAACTCTCACCCCACCTATTAAATTACAAAAATTACACTACCCATCAATTTCTAATCCCATTTTTCCTTTCATTTCGTTGTTGGAAGTGTTACCTGATGATCCGGAGTCCTTTAAAAAGGATTTTGGTGAAATAAATTATTGTAATGGTACCTTAAAGTGGTCTGTTTTTCATTAACTATTAGCTCTGCATTCACATTGAGCTCTCAGGATTTCATCCTCCTTGGAATTACCCATTCGGTTTACCAAGTTCTTCGTAACTTAAATATATATATATATATATATATATATATATATATATATATATATGTCTACCTCAGCCCCTTTTATCTATCAATCTCCGTCTTTTCATATATATATATATATATATATATATATATATATATATATATATATATATATCCCTATTTCTTTATCTATCTCACTTTTATCTATCTATCTATTTATCTATCTAGCTATTATCTCAGTCTGACCTATTTACCAGACCTATTTCGACTCCATTTTATAAGCCAATGGCATAAATTGGCATGATATATCGACTGGCTGCTTAACGTTTAGTCTTAAAAACTTAACCTACACACATGCATAAAGGTATTTGGTAGTTAATGTCTTTGTAATGATCAAATATTGCCTTTTGGTGGAAAATTCATAATGTGAATATATTCATTACTAAATATTGACATATGGTTGAGCTGTTAGAAAATTAGCATTGTGAGCATGAGATCGAGTTTCGAATAACACCATTCATATATCGATATTGACATATGGTTCAGTGGTTAGAACCTTAGCATTATGACCATAAATTAGAGGTCCGAATGTCACCATTCATCTGTCCATATTTGCATTGTTATCAACAAATTTCTCTTCTCCTCTTTTCTACTTTCTTTTTTTCCTTTTCTTTTCCTTTACTTTGTATTAGTTATTTTTGCTATATTATTCCCTTTCATTTCCTCTTCCTTTTCTTCGGAGAAGGGATGATTTTTTTATGCTTTCTTTTCTTAACTCTTTCTATTTCTCTTTCTTTTTTCTTTTTCCTTTTATTGATTGTCCTGGGTAAGAGGATAAACTACGTCCAGCAGCAAGGCCTCTGATCAGAAGGTTTCGAGGAGCGTGGAACCACCTCTTAATTGCTGGTGTTCCCAGGTTCACCCTGATCCGGTGTGGTAGCACCTGTTAGGGGCCCACCTATAGGCAAATAGTTAACTATTACTAGCAATACTTTTTGAAAAAATTTATTGCCAGCAATACAATTTTGAAGGAAAATATTGCCTGAAACCGTTTTTTTACAAAACAAAATATTACCAGCAATAAAACATTTTGTTGGCATTAAATAGCCCATTGAGGTTGATATGCTGTAAAACTAAATAAACCAAACCAATCTAAAGCAAAAAATACAGATTCTATTCATACGAATCTATCCTAAAAATGTTGTCAGAATTAAATAACCCATTGAGGTTGATATGCCGTAAAACTAAATAAACCAAACCAATCTAAACCAAAGAATACATACTCTATTCATATGAATCTATCCTAAAAATGTTGTCGGCATTAAATAACCCATTGAGGTTGATATGCCGTTAAACAAAATAAACCAAACCAATCTAAACAAAAGAATACATAGTCTATTTATACGAATCTATCCTAAAAATGTTGTCGGCATTAAATAACCTATTGAGGTTGATATGCCGTAAAACTAAATAAACCAAACCAATCTAAACCAAAGAATACATAGTCTATTCATACGAATCTATCCTAAAAATGTTGTCGGCATTAAATAACCCCTTTGAGGTTGATATGCCGTAAAACAAAATAAACCAAACCAATCTAAACCAAAGAATACATATTCTATTCATACGAATCTATCCTAAAAATGTTGTCGGCATTAAATAACCCATTGCGGTTGATATGCCGTTAAACAAAATAAACCAAACCAATCTAAACCAAAGAATACATAGTCTATTCATACGAATCTATCCTAAAAATGTTGTCGGCATTAAATAACCCATTGCGGTTGATATGCCGTTAAACAAAATAAACCAAACCAATCTAAACCAAAGAATACATAGTCTATTCATATGAATCTATCCTAAAAATGTTGTCGGCATTAAATAACCCATTGCGGTTGATATGCCGTTAAACAAAATAAACCAAACCAATCTAAACCAAAGAATACATATTCTATTCATACAAATCTATCCTAAAAATGTTGTCGGCATTAAAAAACCCATTGCGGTTGATATGCCGTTAAACAAAATAAAACAAACCAATCTAAACCAAAGAATACATATTCTATTCATACGAATCTATCCTAAAAATGTTGTCGGCATTAAATAACCCATTGCGGTTGATATGCCGTTAAACAAATTAAACCAAACCAATCTAAACCAAAGAATACATATTCTATTCATACGAATCTATCCTAAAAATGTTGTCGGCATTAAAAAACCCATTGCGGTTGATATGCCGTTAAACAAAATAAACCAAACCAATCTAAACCAAAGAATACATATTCTATTCATACAAATCTATCCTAAAAATGTTGTCGTCATTAATTAACCCATTGAGGTTGATATGCCGTTAAACAAAATAAACCAAACCAATCTAAACCAAAGAATACATATTCTATTCATACAAATCTATCCTAAAAATGTTGTCATTAAATAACCCATTGAGGTTGATATGCCGTTAAACAAAATAAACCAAACCAATCTAAACCAAAGAATACATATTCTATTCATACAAATCTATCCAAAAAATGTTGTCGTCATTAAATAACCCATTGAGGTTGATATGCCGTTAAACAAAATAAACCAAACCAATCTAAACCAAAGAATACATATTCTATTCATACAAATCTATCCTAAAAATGTTGTCGGCATTAAAAAACCCATTGCGGTTGATATGCCGTTAAACAAAATAAAACAAACC